CCTACCAAGTATGAGGCTCTAGGTTCAATTCTGGAACTACAAAAACACCGAGAGCCAAAAGGCTACAGATCCCGACATGCCAGTTGGTCTTGTGGGGAGGAGTTCCGTGTTGTCTGTCATTCTATTGGTGGATATCCAGTCTTCCTAGCATCGTTCATTGAAGCGGCCGTCTTTATCCAGTGTGTTTTGACATCTCTTCTGAACAATAGATTATTGTAGATGTTTGGTGTTTTTCGGGCCTGCTATACAATTCCTGGATAGAGAGATCTATTCAGCAGGAAAAAGTTTCAGAAAGCAGATTTGCCGCCACCATTGATCCTTAAGATTAAGGGGTTTATATCTCAGAGTAGGAGATGGAAGCAAAATAGGGAAAATTCAGGGACACAGGAAGGGGAAAGGAGTCTCCTCACCACGGAGTTGGGCTGGACTGTAAAGACTATACACACTGAAACAAGACTCCTTTTCGGGTAAGAAGAGTGAAACAGCAAGGAACCATGCGCGAGGCCTAAGAAAATATGATCTATGTGAGCTCACCTTTACTGCTTTGCCAGCTCTGAAATGTAACTTCTGAGACTCTTACAAACAAGGTTACAAACATGCTTTCCTGTAACCTAGCACTGCAAGGAAGCCTGTGACTGCTGCCTCTCAGTCTCAAATCCTGGCCCTGCTCCTTCTATCACCCCATGACCCCACTTTCTAAACCAAGAATGCTTTGAACATTGTTAACTTCAGAAGCCACCACACTTCATGTAGCTTTATTAGAACACTCCACGTACCTGCCACCCTATCTTTTGATAAGCAAACAGCCACACTTGGGAGTTTACTGCCTGTACATGTAACCAACTGTCTTATTAAATAAGAAACACAGAACCAATGCAAAGAAGAAAGCCAAGAGGTCAGAGCTAAGAGCTAAAACCTTACCCTTCCTCCTGCGGTGGTCCTACCTCTCTGAAAGAGTTACTTCCTGTGTTAAAGTCTTTATATAGACTTTCTGTTCTGCCTTCTCATTGGTTGTAAACCCAACCACATGACCGCCTCATCACTGCCTGTCTGTATAGACCTCCAGGTCTTCTATGGTTGGTATTGAGATTAAAGGCGTTTGTATCCAATGCTGGCTGTATCCCTGAACACACAGAGACTTACCTAGCTCTGCCTACCAAGTGCTGGGATTACAAGTGTACACCACCACCACCCTGCTTTCCTACGACTTGCTAATAGCTTTGACCCCCGGGCAACTTTATTAACATACAAGTAACATTTTAATACAAATAAAATATCACCAAAAACCCTCCCCAAAAACCACTCTCTTACCCAATGCATAAATCTGTTACAACTCCTTTGGGGTAGGGGCAAACTAATTTTATTCATGTTTTCTTACACATGGTTTGGTATTTTCAACTTTGTGTTTTCATTTAAATCAAACGTAAATTTTAACTTAGGACCCCTGTGGCTTGTATCATAAGATAAGAATATATAATATTAGCCAGGAGTAGGGGCACCTGCCTTTAGTCCCAGCACTCAGGAGGCAGAGGTACGCAGATGCCATGTGAGTTGGAGATCAACCTGGTCTATACAGTGAGTTTCAGAACAGCCATAGCTACATAGTGAAACCCTGCCTCAACAAAACCAAACAGAACAAGAATATATGATACCATAGAAAACACGTTATCATTTATTACATGGACTTAGAAATCAACACAAATCAATGTCAGGCACTTCTTAAGTTTACACTATGAGAAATGTCTACCAAAGATCCATACATTGAGCAGGCAACACCAAAGAGACTCACTCTTCCATTTTAGGAACAGTACAGAGTTCAGAGAATTGAAAAGATGAAATATTGCATAATTAGCCCAATTGTATCCTGTTACATTTCTTCCCAATTTCAAACAATTTTAGGGTTAAATACAAGCACTCACTTAAGCATCCAGAGTGCTAAATTCTGCTTTTCTTTACTCCACTATCATGGTCTTCAATGATTGCACCTGCTGAGGAACGTGGCACAGAAGTTGTATTTTGAGTTGCATCCTGAATCTTTATTTTCTATAAGATCTGATTCTACAGAAACACATGATGGTTGATTGCTGGCTGTTTTTCTTCCTTCCTTCCTTTTTGTGATAGTCTTTTGCTATGTAGTCTTGGTGGCTGATCCTATTCAGCCCAGGTTGACCTTGTACTCCCAGCAATTCTCCTGTCTCACATTTTGAATGCTGGAATTAGACTCACACCACCACGTATTGCGTATTTTGCTGTCTTTTAATGCTTGTTTCAGCAAGTTTGTTTTGTAATACCAGGTCTCAAGTTACAAATTCCTTTAGACATTTAATGCTGATCTTTGCTATTTAAGCAAACATGAAGAAAAATGGAATGTGGGAAATCAACTTAGGCTGTCTTCACGTTCAACCCTATATACAGTCTTGTTTTGTCAACCTTCCCCATATTAAGCCAGCTGAACTGGTATTCTCCAAAACATCATTAATCTTGTTTATATGAGGATAATGTGAATGTAGCAATGGACTTTGGTCCTAAATCATAGCTCAAGGACCTGAAATAGTCTATGTATTTTTCTTCTCTTTCTGAATCTAGCTGTCAGCGTAAGAAGTTAATATTAAGTAAAATTAAGGGGCTAAATATAGTATAACATGAGTCTTCTACTGGTATCTCTATACCACAACCTGAATCTAGTCTCCTGATAAGACTCAGAATCTCTGGTGATGCAAAGGTCCCCAGCAATGGGTCAAGTCATGGTAGGTGGACAAACAGAATTAAAGTTGTTACTGAAAACCCAGTGGTCTGGGAACAATGGTTCCCGGTAGTTTAGGATCCCGTTAGATGAAAACGAGCAACCTTCATTGGTGGTGAGGAAACATCTAGGACAGTAAGGGCTAGCTGAGCTCTGAAAGGTGCTCCTGAACAAGAAATTCCATGTTGTTTTTGGAGAACGAAGTGGTCAAATCTGCTGTATAAAGAAACCCTCTCTACCTTGCCTTGAAAATGAGAATGATACCAGGATACCAAGGGCAATTAGAAGATCCCAAAGTTCACATAAGATCTAGGATGTGCTGTTATCCCCTATTAACAAAGTAGAACAGACTATAGATGCATTCCCAAAAATGCCTGCAGAAAAAAACTAGACAGCTGGCTATGATTTTTTTTATTTATTTACACTAATATAAACAGATTTTGAGGTTGTCTGTACTGTATGTGATTGCTGCAGTTACAGCAAGAAATATAAAGTGCCTGTAAGAGAGGACCAATACTGTCTCTCTTCTCGGCTTCTTAATACTATACACTCAGACAAAAGGAAAAGACACCTTAGGGACCTCTTGCCTGTCCTCACACACCCCACACTTACCTGCGACTTCCTGTGACTACCTACGAGGCACTTCTTCAAGGCCAGGAAACACACTCTTATTCCTTCTACCCCATGCTATGCTTACGTAAGACTAGGTTTACCACCTGCATTCGAAATGCCAACCAGCAGTGCTAATGCACCTTTTTATTCTTAAGGCAAAATGTCACAAGAAAATGAATACTCATTCCCCACTGCCCAGCCCACTTGTCTTCTCTGTATTCTTTGTCTACTATGATGGCCAAGGTGTGCTAGAAATATAAGGGAAACTGAATTTTTAAAATAAAACTCTCAATATAATGGGAAACATACACTTTATAAATGTTATGACAAAATCAAATATATCCAAATGATTTATCTTTTGGCCACTTTTACCAAGATATCAAGAGAAGTTAAACAACTTTCAAAATTAGTATCAAAACGGGACACTTAAGTCTATTCACATGTACAGAGGTATAAATCTTTGTTCTTTTCAGAGCTGAGCACAGTGAGGTTAAATGAGATGTTTGTTTACACCCAGAAGTCGCATATTAACATCTGAAACCACAGGGCTTGCTGAGTTCTGCCCCATGACATGTAAACTGCCAGCATGACGTCAAGGGGTACTCCGCCACAGTTAGGCCTAATACTGTTTGACAGTTTTGATATTTTCATATATTAAATCTCTTTTTACTTAGTTATAATTTTGTTTTTATGTACAAGTACACAAGAATCATATTTTTTGATGCTTAGCTTAAAAGGGTTAAAAAACCAAAAACCTCATATTTTGTAAAAGTGGTAAAGTTTCATGCTTTCTTATGACATGTCAATAACTGACTATACTATGCCAACCTTAACAATGGAACAAACACTTTAAACATCCAACTAAGAAATAAATTTTAGCCAATACCCTGGCAACTTCAGAATGTGCTGGTATGTGTTGAACTGATGTAACAGTGATCCAAGCAACTATGCACATGATTGTTCAAATTAAAAAATAAAAATTCAGCTTTTTAGCAAGCTGTAGGTCTGGGCTCTGGAGGGGTGGGAAGGGCTCCATTAGAGGCTGTTTGTCTTTAACAAAACTACGGAGGAGATGTGAGTCTTTAAGGGGATTTTCTAATACACCAGAGGAAACTTTTCATCGTGATTTGAAGTATGAGAACGTATGACTAGAACTTAGCACTACAAAGCCCAGTGATTGAGGGCTGATTTTCTCAGAGCAGGTGGGCAAACATTAAATGCTGAGAGTGTACTGGGAGGCTTACAGCAGATCTCAAACACAAAGCATCCCTGTTAACACTCATCCGCACCCGATGGGTTTAGACAGTTAAGTGTCTCACATTTAATGAAAGATTTTTCAAAGCTCCATTAATGCTTGTAATGTGGACTTCTATTTCTTATCAAAATCTTTAGGAAATTTTAAAGTCTGATACTAAAACTAGTTAA